CCTCTGTTACTTCAATAAGTAAGATAAGATATTTTTGATGCAACACCCTTAAGCAGGACCGGGTTCGAAACGTTTTGGCAACGACCCATTATGACCGTATGTCGTTTTCGGGGAGGGAGAATTATGAATTATGTGTGGGCATCAACCTGGCACGTGGTAACGTATACTGTCGCTTCAGATGACTAATTGATTCGGGGAGTCTGGTCTGGTTGAGGTAACGTTCCATTTATCGCATCAGGGTAAACACATGCGTCTGTTCAATACTTGATATATCTATTTTGTGCTACCGCCAATTCCGACATGGATCAAGAAGGAGACAATAGCGGTTCACCTGAGGATGCAATACTCCGGCAGCTGGGCCAAATGAAAACGTGAACTGGTTGGAGAAGGAGATTCCTATTCCAATTTTAGATCAGCTCATATAAAGTCTAATGAATTGGTAAACTCGAAGGCAAGGCGAATAATATTTCTATTTGTTCTGGGGCATATCGGACTGGAGGAAATTTAAAAAGTAGACTCGCTGGGAAACAGACTGAAACATCGTAAGGCCTGGACTCCTCTTTGAGATGAGTGAAACAGCAACAAGCAAAGGACTCAATAAAGAAATACAATACAAGAGCCAACTATTGGGATGATCTACAAGGAGATGAGAAAAAGGAAGATACTTTTGGGAACTCATAAACAGAGGAAGAAGCCTCTATCCATATCCTTCAGAACTACGTAGTACAATAAAAGACAAAGACGCTTGACCTAGTACCACATCAAATAAAAGAGGAAGATCAACCTGACCTGAAACCCTTACACATTCTTTACTTCTGAAGAATAATTGACCCTACACTGAAAAAAAAAGGTTCCTTTAATTCAAAGAATTACGCACTTAATTCAAAGAAATTGTGATCTTGGATATGGCAAAGTGCATGTTCTCTTCAAAAACCAACAATATTTTAAATACTGTCTGTAGGTTAATCGAGGAGGTGGTATATTCATTATATTTTCTTGCCAAATTGATTATTGATGATCCTCGACACAACATCAGAAACAGCACAAAATATGAAATAATGATATGGCATTGACACGGACAACTACACACTACTGAGTACTGAGGCTCAACTGCTTCGTTCTCTACTCGACGTGTCCTATCGAGGGCGCTGTGTAACGTTCGAGTTTTTCATGAGAATCTCAGATATTCCACCAAAATTCATGATTCTTGTTTGAAGTAGCAAGAACTGAATGAGTGTAGGATGTGAAAATATTCTCGTGACAAGAGAAAATAATCCCAATTGGAAGAAATTTCATTCAAGAGAAGTTTCAGAAAATATCAAGAACCCCGGATTTCTCAGGACAAAGAAATGTCCATGCAAAGTATTTTTCTTTGTGGGAGATCATTTTTTCAAGATCACAAAATTCCTTGACTCAAGTAGATCTGTTTTTTCTGTGTATTGGTCGCAATGTTTGGACCACCTTTGCCTTCACATAAATAAAAGCATTTTGTGATTTAAAAAAAATTTTCATTGCTTCTTTATAGTTGGGAACCAAATCCCCAGAAGTCGAAACTAGGACGTGTAGGTATAACCCATGTGGAGAACAGAGACAGACAAAAAAGGTCAAGGGGGGCATACTTGCAAGACGAAGACAGCAGCCTCTTCACGATATACTACATTACTATAACTGTGACTACGTAGTAGTAGTGTTTTTTTTTTTTTTTTTTTTTTTTTTTGGGGGAGTGGAAAATCTTCAAAAAGACGAATGGTCGCCCATTGACCAGACAGTGTCAGATTTTTACTGACTAAAAAACCACTCGTGAACTTAGGAAGGCCTCTTCGGGACTACCCTCGGGTATTACTTCGAAGAGGGTCGTTCTGTTGTTGTTATGGGCTCTTCCTTTTATTTTTTTCCATCATATTTCCCCTTCATTTCCTATAACTTCTTTCCTTTTCGTGGATATAATTATCATGGCCAGTTCGCTCACCGTTTTCCAGTTCGTTTTCTTCTCCAACATTTTGTCTATCAGGTTTTCCGGCGTCAGTCTCCCGAGCTCTCCTTCGGCCTTGTTTCTCTGCTCATTCCATCTACAGCAATCGAAAAAAGTGTGTTCAGCTGTATCACACATTCCGCAATATTGGCATTCATATGTGTTACTCAGCTTGAATCGGTGTAGGTACGACTGAAAGCACCCATGCCCTGTGAGGATCTGGGTGAGAAAAAAGTTAACCTCACCCCATTTCCTGTTGACCCATGGTCGTATGTCCGGGATCAGCCTCTTTGTCCAGCGCGCTGTGTTTTCTTCGTACTCCCAGTTGTCCTGCCATTTATTTATTATGTATTCGCGAGCCGCCCCTCGACTAGTGTTATCCTGTATCATCCGTCTCTCTTCTACCAGAAGATATATTGGTGGTGTTCTAGCAACCACAAGCAGGGCTTTTGTTGAGGTTGTCCTATATGCACTGGCTACCTTTATTGCCGCTTTTCTCTGGACACTGAGGAGCATATTCCTGTATATGTTTTTGTCCATGGCTCTTTGCCAGATGGTTGCTCCGTATAGCATTATGGACTGGATAGTAGAGCATAGTATTCTCTTGTTGGTTTCGCGGGGTCCCCCGATATTCGGCATAATTCTGCTTATATTGCCAAGAGCCTTAGTGGCTTTCTCGGCTATTTTCCTCACATGGTATCCCATCCTCATGTTTCTGTCCATATGGATTCCCAGGTATTTGATGCTCTCCTTGCTATTGATGGTGACATCATCAACTTTCACCGTGATGTTCTTAATTTTCCTTCCTGCTGCGAGTATCACTGCCTCTGTTTTCTGTGGCGCTAGTTTGAGTTTTCTAGACACCAGCCACCTAGTTATTTTCTCGAGGACGCCATTTGAAGTATTTTCAAGTTCTTCTACTCCCTTTGCTACCACCAGTATAGCCAAGTCGTCCGCGTATCCTATGAGCCTGACCCCTCTAGGAACGGGTATCTTCAGGATTCCATCATAGTACAGATTCCACAGTGTCGTGGGGCCGATAACAGAGCCTTGTGGGACCCCACATGTGATCTTCATATCTTTCGTTGTTCCGACGATGAGTAGTCTGTCTTCCAGGTAGCTAGCTAACATATTATACAGATATGGGGCTATCTCTCTGTTCTTGATTTCCTCCAAGATTCCTTCCCATGGTGCCGTGTTGAAGGCGTTCTGGATGTCGACCGTAATCATCACGCACCTGTTCCTGCCGATCCTCTGGTTTGCTTCGTCTGTGATTTCTTGTACCCTTTCTAACGCGTCAGTTGTGGATCTTCCTGCACGAAACCCGTATTGCTCTACATGTAGGCCTCCGCTTCTTTCTATTTCTGTGTTCAATCTCGCCAGGATGAGTAGTTCGAGGAGTTTGCCAAGTGCGTTCAGGACACATATCGGCCTATATGACTTATTGCCTTGGTTAGGTTTGCCTTTCTCGATGAGCACCAGTCTCGATACTTTCCATTCGGCTGGAAATACTCCCGTAGCCAATATATGATTTAGTATCCTCAGGCATGTCTCTGGGTGGTCCCTCACCACGGCTTTGATGACCTCTGAGGGCAGGCCGTCTGGTCCAGGTGCTTTTTTCTCCTTGAGTCTGTTGCTTGCTGCGACCAGTTCATCTCTGGTGAACATGGGTATTTCCGCCTGAATTACGGGTCGTCTGTCCCATTTTCTTATGGGGTGATTTGGGAACAGTGTCTTAGCCACCTCCAGCTGTTCTTCGTCCGTCATTGTTATTGCCGGGGATTTATTAATCTTTCCTGTTACGATTTGGTACCCTTTCCCCCAGACATCCTCATCTATCTCTTCGATTACTTTCTTCCATGCATTATTCTTTGCCTCCAGTATCGTCTGCTTCAGTATTGTTCTGCATTCTTTGTAACGTTCTTGACTAATTCTTTTCTGGTGCTCATTGTTCTTTTTATTCTCTCTTATCATAGATCTCCTGGCTTGCATGCATTGTCTTCGTTTGTCCGCCACTTCTTCGTTCCACCAGTATACGGGTTTTCGGTTGCCTCTCATGTTTTTCTTTGGAAATGTCTTATTGCATGCTTTTGTTATGGTATCGGACAGTTCTTTCGCGCTCATGATTTTATCGATTTCCATGTGCAGCAGCTTGCCAGCTTCCTGCGTCATCTTTCCCATGTTGTTTTTTGTCAATCTCCATCCTTTGCTGATTTTATTGCAGCTCGACTTCACCCTGTGAAGGGGTCCGTCGATTTCGTATGAGATATGCTGGTGATAGCTCAGACTTTCTCTTTCAAGTACTTTCCAGTTTTCAACTCTTTTGGCCACGGTCTTGGTGCTGAACGTTACGTCTATGTAGGATTCGTAGTCTCTTCTAACGAAGGTTGGTGTATCTCCCTTATTGAGTACTATCAGGTCTTCCTCGCTGAGCCATTCTGCCATTACCTCTCCTCTCTTGTCCTCTATCTTGGAGTTCCACAGGAAGGACTTGGCGTTGAAGTCTCCGCCTACAATGATTTCCTTATTGTGTCTCTTCATGTCTGTTCTCAGATCATTCAAGAAACCTACAAATCTAGCCATGTTTACGTTCGGAGAGATATAGCATCCGTATATTATCAGAGCTGTGGTTTCTATCCAAACAAAGCCCTCGCCTTTACCTGTTTGCCATACTTTTATTCCTTTGTTCATTACTTTGATTGCAATATCTAGGTTGTTATCGACAATCCATTGGCTCCTGACGACTTTTTTCCGATTCGGTTCTGCCATGATAATTATATCCACGTGTTCCTCCACCGCTATTTGGTACATCAGGTCCATTGCTTCCCTTCCTCTGTCTATGTTTCCCTGTAAAATTTTCCGGGCCATCAAAAGTGCATTGCTCTTCCCCTCTTCTCCGTTTCCATTGCCTTTCGGAATTTTCTGTACTCTGGGCATCTCATTGATTCTGCTTTGTGTCCAGTGAAATTGCAAAGATAGCACTTTTGTTCATTTTTGCATTCTTTTCTTTGGTGACCTTTTTCCCCACACTTGTGGCATAAAGAATCTTTCTCTTTGATCTCGAATTTGTTCGCTGCGTGTCCGACTCGCTGGCATTTGTAGCATCTAACCACGTTGTCTACTTCTCGGAGTCTCCATCTGTTCCATCCCACTCCTATGCTTCTTTTTGATGATATATTTGTAGCAATATCAGGTGCCATGGTAACGAAAGCATATTTTAATCCTCTAGCATTTGCTTTTTCTGACAATTTAATTCTGACATCTTCCATCGATCTCTCATCGTCGTTTATCTCCCTGTTCAGTGCTTCTTTAACGTCAGTTTCTGTAACTGTTTCGTCAATATCTAGGATCATGACTGTTTGACTCTTCTGTTTTATGTTAACTTCTGCCACTTTATCAAGTTTTTCTGTCAGTACTCTTCTGAATATCTGTCTGTTCTTAGCTTCTTTTCCTTTTATCTTGAGTTCTACGCTGCCGTTTCTCATTTTATTTATTCTATCTACTGTTATGCCTTCCGTGCCAACTTGTTCCTTCATATTTTTTATAACTTCCACGTACGATGAACCGGCTAGGGGTTAGTAGTGGTAGTAGTAGTAGTAGTAGTAGTAGTAGTAGTAGTAGTAATAGAAGTACTAGTTGTAGTAGTAGTAGTAGTAGTAATAGAAGCACTAGTTGTAGTAGTAGTAGTAGTCAGAATATTCTTCACAATTAGTGTTCTATGTTTATGTAACTTTCGATCATCGAAATCAACTCCCAACCTCCTAGTCGTTTTTATTTGTTTGTAATCCTTTTTCCAGGATCTACTGAGAATGTGGCCGACGAACGTCTGAAAGTTTAACCACTATTCACTTTTCCGCACTAAATCTAGACTTATACGTAACTTATGTACCTACCTAAATACAATAGTAATTTATTGATTAGGAAATTTATTGACGACCAGCAACTCGATAAATATTTCAATGTTGAAATCCATCCGAACTTGGGTATCAAATGATTTTGATATTCAGTATATTTCCATAACAATAGATGCGTCGGATCTCTTAGACTTGGCGCTACCTCTGTTACTTCAACAAGTAAGATATAAGATATTTTTGATGCGATATCCTTTAGAGGAACAGATTTTCCGATAAGGAGGACGAAGCCTCTATCCATATACTTTAGAACTACGTAGCACAATGCAACACAAAGATACTTCACCTAGTACCACATTAAATGAAAGAGGAAGATCAACCTGACCTGGAACCCTTACACATTCTTAACTTTTGAAAGATAATTAACCCTATGGGACGCAATGTTTGGACAACCTTTGCCTTGCAAATTATTAACTCTTTGTAGAAGAACATTTTTTTCAAGATCACAGGATTCCTTGACTCAAGTAGATCTGTTTTTTCAGTGTATGGGTCGCAATGTTTGGACCACCTTTGCCTTCACATAAATAAATGTATTTCGTGATTTAAAAAGAAATTGTTTATGGCTTCTTCAAAGTTGGGAATCAAATCCCCAGAAGTCGAAGCGGGGTTAGGAAAAGCGGGACCTACAGCTTATTGTGGATCTCGAACCACTTCTAGAATGCCAAGGTGCACAGAAAGACGTGTAGGTACACCCTATGTGGAGAACAGAGACAGGCAAAAAATGTCAAGGGGGGCCTACTTGCAAGACAGCAGCCTATAACTATTACCACGTAGTAGTAGTAGTTGTTGTTGTAGTTGTAGTAGTAGTTTTTTTTTTTTTTTTTTTTTTAGTGGAAGAAAATCTTCAATAAGACACCAGGCGGCAGACACAGCTCGACACCAGCATTAGCAGGCGCCGAGCTGCATGTGTCGTCCGGTAGTGCCGGATTTTTACCGGCTAAAAAACTTCCACTTTATTCTTGCTGCAAGTGGGATTCCTGTTTGGAATTACTTCACTATGCAGCGATCTTGACTCTTCATAAATTTCTCCTTTTAAATTCTGCCTCTCTTCTTATTAGTATTTTCATGACCAATTCATTGATTTCTTGCCAATTCCTCTTCTCTGTCATCATGATATCCATAATATTTTCTTTGCTCAATTTCACATTCAGTTTCAGTTCTGTCTCGTCTCTCAGTCTTCTATCTTCTCCACACTGAAATATCATGTGTTCCGGTGTGTCTCTCAATGCGCAATGTGGACATTCGTCGCTTGCGCTTACTCCTATTTTGTTTAGGTAACTCATGAAAAAACCATGCCCGGTGATCCATTGGGTCATGTGGTAGTTTAGGTTTCCAAACGGTCTCTTGTTCCATTTTCGAATGTCAGGTATAAGTGTGTGCGTCCATCTGCCATTCTCGCATGTATCCCAATCAGTTTGCCATCTCGTAATGATCCTTTCTGTTATCGCCCTTTTCTCGACTTCGTTCTTACCCCACATTTCTCTGTCTCACGAGTAGTTGTATGGGTATAATTCCAGATATCACAAGACTGCTCTCTGTGGATGTTGTTTTGAAAGCCCTACTTATTCTAACTGCCATCGTTCTCTGCACTTGGGTCAGCATTTTTAGGTTTCTTTTAATTGCAATTGCTTTCTCCCATATGACCGAAGCATAAAGAATTATGGAATGAACTACCGCCCCCAGTAGTCGTCGTTTACTTTCTGTTGGGCCGTTTTTTCTAGGCATCAGTCTTATAAGTGCGCTCATAACTGATTTTGCTTTGGAGACTACCTTCTCAATGTGATGTCTATATGATAAGTTCCGATCTATTGTTACTCCGAGATAATTCACGGTTGTTTTCGGGATTATTCTCACGCCTTCTAACGTAAACGCCACTTGAGTCTCCAATTTTTTTTTCCCAATTAACAGGACTGCCTCGGATTTCTCCGGAGCCAGCTTCAGTTCATGTTTTTCAATCCATCTGCTTATCCGTTCTAGAGTTTCATTGACCTTCACGACTAAACCCTCTTCGGTTCTATCGACCACTACTACCGCGGCGTCGTCGGCGTAGGCGATGATTTTTACTTCTTCCCCTGTTTCGATGCGCAATATTCCATCATAAAGAATGTTCCATAGAAGAGGTCCCAACAGAGATCATTGAGGAACTCCTGCGCTGATACGGTATTCGTCACCATTGTCGTCTATAATCTTACGGTCTGTCAAGTAGCTGGTTATAATGGTCCTCAGATATTTGGCCACTCTTCGTCTTCTCAGTTCTCGTAGTATTACGTTCCATGAGGCTGTGTTGAACGCATTTCTGATGTCTAAGGTTATGCGAGCACAAAATCCTCTTGTTCTTGGATTCTTCCTCATCTCTTTCTCAGCGATATGTACTACTTCCTGGATTGCATGTATTGTAGATCTTCCTGCTCTGAACCCAAACTGCATCTCCGACAGAGGAGCCTTCAACTCTAGCTCTCTGTTGATTCTCGCCGCTATAACGTGCTCCGTAAGTTTGCCAATTGCATTCAGAAGGCATATGGGACGGTAGGCTCTGGGGTCTTCCTCGTCTTTTCCTGGTTTCTTGAGTAGGACTAACTTACCTACTTTCCATTGTTTCGGGAAATTACCGTTTCTGATTATGTCGTCCACCATCTGACACATAGTTTCCGGAAAATCTTTGACTACTAATTTAATTATTTCCGAGGGTATCCCGTCCGGGTCAGGCGTTTTGCCATTTTTCAATTTCTGCGCTGCAGTCAAGAGTTCTTCCACTGTGACTGCCGGAATCTCTTCTGCTTCTCCACTTTCGGGAATCCATGTTTTCTCGCCTTGTTCAGGAAAGAGAGTGTTAATGATTTCTTTCCTGAGGTCTGATGTTATAGCAAGCGGCCTGTGTTTGAGTTTTCCCATTGCAATTTGGTAGGCCTTACCCCAGATATCATTTTCAATATTGCAACATAATTTATCCCATGCAGATTTTTTGCTTGTCAGTATCATATTTTTCAACTTTGTTCTAGCTCTTTTCAGTGTGTTCTGTAGTTGTTCGATGGTATCTTGCATTCCTGGTCTTCCATTCGTCCGACTAATCCGCCTTCTCAATGTGTTACACTCTTTTCTCTGGTTAGCAATGTCCTCGTTCCACCAATAGTTTGCTACGCGGTTGGGATTATATCTGCTCTTAGGCATGGATAGGTTACATGTTTCTTCAACGTTTTCCATGAGGGTCTCCGGCGTGCTGTATGTTATTCCTTCCATTCTCATCTCGAATGTTTGTTTGAATTTGGAGGCGTCTAATCTTTTTAAATTCCATCTGGTTTTGTGTTGTATAATCCCTTCTTTCTCCGGTGTTGATTTTATTTCATAGTAGATGTATTGATGTAGGCTCGCAGATTCTTCATCCAAGACCCTCCACTTCTGTATGTTGTCCTTTGAGTCTTCTGAACTGAAGGTCAGGTCTATTATCGACTGTTGTTCGTTTCTGACGAAAGTGGGTTTCCGCCCTTCGTTCTGAACCACTAAACCGTTCCTAGCTATCCATTCCGTCAAAATAATCCCCCTCCTATCTTCTTTGGTGGAACCCCATTCTGGCGATTTGGCGTTGAAATCGCCAGCCACTATTATTTTTCTTCCGGTTCTGTGTATATCTCTTTCCACTTTTTTCAGGTATTTTTCGAAATCATCTATTCCGCTGTTTGGAGAAATGTAGCATGACACCAAACGATAATCTCCCACATTTATCCAACAATAACCTCTTCTTCGTTTTCTCCTTCCTATATGTAATTTTTGATTCGTGACTTTTATAGCGGTATCATAGTTTTTATCGGTCACCCACGGTCCTTCCCCTTTAATCAAATTTTTGTTGGGTTCACTGATAATCAGGATATCACATGTCATGTGATTAGCTGTAAGGTCTGCTAGATTATGTGAGATGACGCTTCTAAGTAGTGGTCGCGTCACCCCAGTCCAGCCCCTCCCCTCCACTTTTCTCCAAACCACGTGACTCGGCCGACCAATCACAGGCCGGCCTGACTCGGCTAGCTACTCGCGGCCTAGCGAACGGGTCGTCATCATCGGTTGGACTGCGATAGATCCGTTCTAGAGATAACGGCGCGCATTTTATTCCATTTTTCAACAACGGTTATATACAGGGTGTTTGAGTTGGGTAATAGTTTGGAAAAAAATATAGGGTGAACCCAAAAAGGCGTTATACCTGTCCGACCTACATATAAAGGCTACCCGCTATAACATGATATATACAGGGCGTTTGAGTTGGATAGCAATTAAAGAAAAAAAAATACTGGACGCCTCACCCACTTTTGCGGGATTAGACAGCTGACGTATTACATAAGACATTTGACAGTTAACAAAGGATTGATGACACGACGTGACTAGATGACCTGCAAGTACCGCTACCTAATAATTTAATATACTGGATGTTTGAGTTAGCAATAGCGATAAGAAATAGGGCGTCTCACAGGTACACTCAGCAAAACATACGTATGATAGAGTATCCGTTTGATATACAGCAATAATAGCAATACAAACTCACATAGGGCACTCATGGCCTGACGTTTGAAATTTGACAGATGACCAAAAAAACGCTATCATACATCAATACTAGACAAAGCTCTTTGAGGTTATGT